CACCACAACCCAAACAAAAATGCGGGTGCCGCCTATGCACTGTCGTCAACGTAAACTGTGTCAAGGGGTCAACAAAATGATTTGACAACCGTTACGCGCAATACACGAGGGCTACCCTCAGCCCAGATAAATCAGAGTGCACAGGAAAGGTAGTCATTACAGCAGAAGCCGCCTTCACGACATTCCTGTTTACGATATAATTTGTGTTGCGGGAGTATTCGTAATATGACAGTTCGGCCTTCGATTCCGACTATGTCCACTGTGTGCTCCACAGCCTTGTGGTGCAGGAACGGTGAATTGATCGTGGATTAGTTTTAAGTCATAACATATTTGCGTTGCGCCTATCGCACCATCTCCTCCCTCATCCGCCCGTGTCCGGTGTCCAGACAGGGTGAAAGAATGACAAAGAGATGGGTGGGAGCGTCTATATGCACAATCCTAGGTACAACCGGGGAGAATTCTGTCGTCAATTGGCACTACGAAGCCCCTATCCAACCGCCCGCGGTTAACTATGTTTTGCCGACAAGGAAACTGTGTTCGCCGGACTATGCTTGGGCTTGTTGGTGGCATTTTCGTACAGTGGAGCAGTTTTTCGCTGCGTCCACCCCACTCTCGTCTCCCGTGTTTCAATGGTAGAATGAAGTCAAGACCGGAAGTGTGTTTGGGTGCTGGAGTGAATGATTGACAAGACTAAACGACCTCTTTACGTCTGAAACACAAAATAGGTACTAAGCTAAAACGCGCCAGGCGCAAAGCAGCACATAACCGAGTACGATAAAGACCGCATTAAGAAGAAGCCATTGCAGGCTAACTTTAATCCTGGATTGCGCAGAATGAGCCGGTCAACGGGCAAGAGTGACGTCCACAATGTTGAAAACGCCAGGGCCGGTCGAAGCGCCTTAGACTTCTTACAGTGAGGAATGTGTCACATTACTGTGAGGATGGGTACTTCAGTAGCGACCTCACTTTTCCCTTGCCACTTTCCACTTGCCATCGGCCCGTCTGAAACTTTTAGCTGACTAACGATGGAGTTTGGGCAGATCAGTTGATGTGACACGAACCTCCGTCCAACGCGTGCCACGCGCACACAGGCGCAGAGACAAACTCGGATGGGAATGATGCTGCGGACTCCGTTTTCAAGATACCTCAACGCATGTCCTCACTACAACCAATCTGACACGCTTTTAGACTACTACGAGGGGTCAAAAGTCGTGGCTTGGCAGAATAAATCTGCCTTTTTAGGGCTGATATTCAGGTTTCAGTGGCTCCTTCTTAATGCAGCACAATGGAATGACATATGAGTCCTGGAAACGTTATCTATCAAGGGGGCGAAACTTGGTATACAGGCGGCTTAATACTTTGAACCAAGCAGGTACGCTCTGACAGACACGATTGTGGAATAAAGGGCAACGTCTCTTTATTTCACCACAACGCCCCCCCCCTTAAGGTTCCACAGGCACACAATGACAAACCAAACCCCAGAAAGAACTTCCAAGGGCCCTAACAAATGTTGTAGGACAAATTTCAGACAAAAAGATCGTTTCGTAAAATAGGTGAAGGGAGTGGGGGGGAATACTCACCAATAACGGCGTTGGGGATGGTAATCTTGAGCCAGGTTCGATCGTGAATCTCAAGACCGGAGTCGGGAGCCAGCATGGCGCGCACCACGATGGCCATGTCGGTGGAGAGTGAGAGTTGCTCCGGCAGGATGGGAAGACCGGTGTTGGGGTCGATGACAGTACCAGCGGAACTGCCAGCGAAGCAGTCGCCACC